AAACCTAAATCTAAATCATTTATATAATAAACAACAGAGGTCCCAGGACAGAGCCTTGAGGATCTACACACAAACAACATTTTCCCACTCTGACTTGACTCCATTTATACTAACTCTGTATCCTTTGGTATAGCTATGCCCTAATCCAGCTTAAATTAATATAGCACCCCAATACCATGAGCCTCTATCTTTTTAATCAGTCTTTCATGTGGTAGTGTATCAAAAGCTTTGCTGAAATCAAGGTACACAACATCACAATCCTTATCACTATCAACTGCCTCAACTATGCTAGAATAAAAAGATAACAAATTTGTTAAACATGAACGACCATTTATAAAACCATGTTGCGACTCGATTATTAATTTGTTTTTCAAGATAAAGACGAATTTTATTTGCAATTATCGATTCGAGTAACTTTCCCACAATAGACGTTAGGCTAATTGGCTGATAGTTTGACGCAAGTGATCTATCTCCTTTCATAAAAACTGGTATCACATTAGCAACTTTCCATAACTCTGGCACTCTGCCTGACTATTGATTTATTAAATATGGTTGACAGTGGGTCACAAAGCTCCTCTTTGCATTCTTTAAGCACCCTGGCAAACACTTCATCCGGCCCTGGGGATTTGTTTGGTTTGAGTTTTACTATTTGTTTAATTACATCCTCCCTGGTAACTGCTAAACTAGTCAACCTGTCCTCGTCCCCACCCACATAGACTTGTTCAGCTGAAGGCATATTGTTAAGTTCCTTTTTAGTAAATACAGATATAAAGTATGTATTAAAAATACTACTCATCTCTTCATCACTATCTGTTATTTGACCTGTCTGTTTTTAATGGACCTAACCTTTCCCTAATCTTTGTCTGTTATAACTGGAAAAAACCTTTAGGATTTGTCTTCGCTTGCTCTACTATGCGAACTTCATAGTTTCTTTTTGCTTTGCTTTCCTTATCTCTTTTTTAGCATTTCTAACCAGTTGTACGAATTCCTGTTCTAAACTGACTTCCCCATTCTTAATCCTTTTGTACCACGCTCTCTTTTTGCCTATAAGGTTCTTCAGATCCTTTGTTATCCACTTTGGATCATTAGTATTCGATCTATTCAATTTATATGGTATACTACATTCCTGGGCTTTGCTTAGAATATTTTTAAATAGGTTATGTTTTGAATCCACATCAAAATCCCCTTTAACGTCACCTATCGCTGGGTTCACGTCTAGCTCCAAGACCGGTCCACACCCCATACCCAAGACTGCCCAATCTATTTGACCCAAAAAAATTCTTAGGTTATTGAAATCAGCTTTTTGAAAATCAGGCACTTTAACAGAATTTTCTCCTACAGATCTATTCCATTCAATGCTAAATCTGATTTCTTTATGATCACTGTTCCCTAGTTCACTCCCTTTTTCGATGTCCTTAATTTGTGTTTCCCTGTTTCTAAAATATTATTTCCCCACATTGGTTCCTTAATGTGTTACGTAAGAAAGCAATCGTCAATTAATTCTAGAAAACCTGCTTCATTATTCCCTGTTCAACCAGTTTATTCCACTAAAATTAAAGTCACCCATGACATAAATACTGTTAGATCTAGATGCTCTAGATATTTCATCCCATAGATGCTTTGCTTCCATTGTGTCTAAATTTGGTGGCCTATATATAACTCCTATTATAATATTATTTGCTTTTTCGTTTAATTTTATCCAAATAGTTTCTGTATGTGGCTCAGTTTTGATTCCCTCTTTGAGACTACATTTCAAATTGTCCTTAACATATATGGCTACTCCTCCTCCTCCTCTAATATGTCTATCTGTGTGAAATAGTTTAAATCCCTTTATTTGATATTCAGCTAATAGTTCTCTATTTTCTACATTCATCCACATTTCGGTAAGTGCAATAATATCTATTTTTTCTGTGCAGACAAGAGCATTTAAATCGTTTTTATTTCTTAGACTTCTAGTGTTAGTGTAATACACCCTAAGTGAATTGTTATTTTGAGGCCCTTCTCTTTCCCTGATCATTTTGCCAATTCTTTTCTCCCACAAACACATACTTTTATTACCTCCTTCCTCCAAATCAATTCCCATACCCCTGTCTACCAACAGTTTAAACCCTAACAAACACCTCTAACCACTGGTTCCAATAAGTTCGCAACAACCACCACCCCAGCCCTCGAAAGATACACCCCATCCCGAGCATAAATTTCATTTCTTCCATAGAAGTGTTCCCAGTTGTCTATGAAAGATATTGCATTTGATTTGCAATATCTTTCCAGCCGGCAATTGACTCCAAGTGCCCTCAACAACCATTCATTCCCAACGCTCTTTCTTGGAAGAATGCCACATATGATCGGGATTCCTCCCTTGCTTCTAACTAATTCTAGGGCTGTTTTATACCTCTGAATCAGTTTCTCACTAGTAACTCGACCAACATCATTTCCTCCCGCGCTAATGCAAATAACGGGATTGTTCCCATTTCCAGCCATAATATCATTCATGTTGTTTATAATATCACCAATACCAGCTCCGGGATAGCAAACCCTTAACCTGTTCCTCCTATTTCTAGCACAAAACGTTCTGTCTAAATACCCCACCTGGGAATCTCCCACAACCAAAATTCGCTTAGTTCCTTCCTTTTCCTTTTGAGCACCTTGAGGGACCCGTGCCTCGTTGCTCTTTGTTGGTTTGCCTTTCTAACGAACTGCAGGCTCACCACAGCACTCGTCCTCCAACACGGCAAGTGCATTAGAAGTCCTTAGGATATCAGTAGGCGGCTTTGCCAAAGTTTTCCCCTGTCCTTTACAACTTGCCAAGACGAGATCTTTTTTAATACCGGTCACCTCCTTTTTTTCTTCCTGATGTTGTTTCAGCTGACGTACTTCCTCCCGTAAGGAATTCAACTCTGTCCTCAGAGCTCCAACTAGATTCATCAGTTCCTTCACTACACCTTCCATTATTGCTATGATAATATTACTATAATCAGGAGCTCCAGCTTACACACCCTCTCACTGTGACTGACAAGTGACACACCCTCTCTATTTCCTTTCCTTTTTATCCTGGAGCTCCTCTGATGCAGGTGTTGACACAAGGGGTCACCTTTTGTTGTGGGGTTGCATCCTGGAAGTAGGAGTCAGTACAGTAATTGAACCGTTCGGTGGGACCTTGAGTTAAGCCTAATATATAGTAGTATATATATATTCACTTGTTATCTGTCCTTCAAAATTAAAGCCTTATCATTATTTCTATTTTCCCATTTACCTGTCAACCTACTTTCATATATATGTTGGTATACCCATAATATTGGATAATTAATTTCTGGGGGGAGCCCCTATGGCTCCCCAGAGCTATCCATGGCTGATATGGATACCCTAACTATTTTGCATCAGTCGATGTGGGTGGAGTTCTAGGTCTACCAGGGACCACGAGCCAGAACCTGGCCCCCCTCAGCAAGACACGGGGAGCAATGGCCCATAGAAATGCACATGTGATTTGGAGCATTCTATATCTGCCATCGACCGAGACAGGCACCCAGAAAGGTAAGCGCCACAAAACAAACCCCTATTCTGGCTAACAACAAAAATCGACAAACGAGTGGACAGAACTCCCCCAGGAAAACGAACTAACGAGCATGACGTCACATGAGCCGCGCCGCATGTCTGCGCAGCTCCCTCCTCCCCAGGAGGGGGAAGGGGGAGCCCCCAGACCCCCGCGCTGGCGATCCCCGCCTCAGTTCCTCGGCTGATGGGATAATGCACGGTCGTGTGACTCCAGCTCCGGTCTGTCTCAGTGCTGTGACTTGTTTGCAGTGCTGCTCTTCCGGTGGTCGTGTGAGCTGGGAGTAGTATTCTCAGGTACTCGGGCTGCATGTGCTTAGGGTCACCTTCTGTGCCATTTCGCAGGCTGTCTCGTGCGTTTTCACCTCCAGCCTGCTTATGCACTGCCTGTGCCGTCCTGGTCTTTGGACAGGGTGCTCTCCTGTTTTTCTTCTCCTTGGTGGTTGTGGCTGCTTGGGGTCGGGTTTGCTTTGCCTCGGCTCTCTTTTTTTTTTTTTTTTTTTTTTTTTTTTTTTTTTTTTTTTATGTTGGCATTGGCCTCTGGGGATTGTGTGGCAGAGCTTCATGCTCTTCCCAGGCTCTGTGGTTTTTGGCTCCTATGGTCTTGGTCATAGGTTTCTTCGTCTGCGGCCGTTCTCCCTTTTTCTGGCGAATGATGTGCCTGCTGCTTTCCGGAGGGGTCCTTGGGTTGTTGTCTCGACTTCGTGTTGAGGAGTGGTTCACCGACCGCCTCCCGGGTATGTCCCCTTGTTTTCTTAGGTAGTCTTTGGTGAAGTAGCTCCGGGGAGCCGTAGGGGCTCCCCCCAGAAAACCAGCATTGAATGTAATGAAACACCATTTTCTGGGCGAGTCTGGAGACTCCCCGGCACCCTCCCGCCCTCCAGTCGGCGTTTTTTTCGCTGTTTTGATATCCAGCCTCAGAACTGGGGCGGGGATCGCCGGCGCAGGGGTCTGGGGCTTTCCCTTCCCCCTCCCGGGGAGGGGGGAGCTGCGCAGACATGCAGTGCGGCTCATGTGATGTCATGCTTGTTAGTTCGTTTTCCTGGGGGAGTTCTGTCCACTCGTGTGTCGATTTTTGTTGTTAACCAGAATAGGGGTTTGTTTTGTGGCGCTTTCCTTTCTGGGTGCCTGTCCCGGTCGATGGCAGATATAGAATGCTCCAAATCACATGTGCATTTCTATGGGCCATTGCTCCCCGTGCCTCTCTGAGGGGGCCAGGTTCTGGCTCGTGATCCCCGGTAGGCCTAGAACTCCACCCACATCGACTGATGCAAAATAGTTAGGGTATCCATATCAACCATGGATAGCTCCAGGAAGCCTCCGAGACTCGCCCAGAAAATGGCGTTTCATTACATTCAACGCTGGGTTTTTTTCCCTTTCTTTCCTGCCTGTAATGCCTAAATTAAATCTCTCATATATCTTTAGGTTTATTAGTATATGTTCTGTTTCAGATCCATTGCCATAGAACAATGAGGCTTCATGAAGCAGAACCACTAAAATCTACTGGAGGTCTTCCCCAACTCCCAAGGTGCCAAGAACACCCAAATGCTGCTTGCACCCATCTATGTAGGACGTGTTCAGTGGAGGACAAGGAAATGGTAACATATATTGTATTCATAAAAGTTTTACCTAATGATTGTGAAATGCAATTATGGTCAAATTAATATTTTATTTTGTCCATTGTAAATTGTTGTAAATAACAAATTATATCAGAACTAAGTCAATTTTATTTATGCTGTGTAACCTCGGTTTTCGAAATCCTGTTTTTATATTTTTCAGTTCTCGAGCTCTATTCCTTCAAAAAATTTGACTCAGTACTAGAGGTTTGCCTCAGTGCTAGAATTGGTTGATACACGTATTGGCCGACTGAATGCATGGCATGCTTCAGTTGACCAGTGTCTCCCGGATAGTGGTAACTGTGCTTGAATTCTTTGCTAAGAATTTCATTATATGTTGGTATATCCATAATATTGGATAATTAATTTTGTGCTTTTTCGGTTTCTGAACATAAAAGTTCTTATTATATATCATACCATGGGTTCCAAGAAAGTCAGTGGTAAAGTTCAACCAAAGAAAATAGTTGAGGATGACGATAGAGGAAAAACAAGGTCATTCATAGTGAGACAATGTGATGTCTCACAGACAAGTGTTAAAATGTAGGGAAAAACGCGTGTCTATAGACAGATTCTTAGTAAGACAAGCAAGCAGTGAGCCACAACCAGGTCCTAGTGGTATGCTTGCAAAATTTAGGAGTGTGTACCCCAGAGAAGTCATCAGTGCCTGATGTTATAATGAAAGTGGACTCCCCGTTCAAACACTAACACTTCCTTTTCCCCCTCCTTGCCGTCTTCCATATGCCAACAAGTTGTAAATAAAAATAAGCTATAATTTGTACATACTATAATACAAAATATTTGCATGTATTATGTACGAAATGTATTTTGAAGTTAGTGGGAGTGTGGAACGGATTAATTCAATTTACATTTTCTTATGGGAAAATTTATTTTGGGTTGCGAATTTTCGGCTTACGACCCATCTCTGGGAACGGATTAAATTAAAAAACCAAGGTATCACTGTATTATATTCTTTGAAAAATAATACATAATTTTTGCTGTTATTACACTATCTTCTTGAGGTTATCTTGAGATGATTTTGGGGCTTTTTAGTGTCCCCGCGGCCCGGTCCTCGACCAGGCCTCCACCCGCAGGAAGCAGCCCGTGACAGCTGACTAACACCCAGGTACCTATTTTACTGCTAGGTAACAGGGGCATAGGGTGAAAGAAACTCTGCCCATTGTTTCTCACAGGCGCCTGGGATCGAACCCAGGACCACAGGATCACAAGTCCAGCGTGCTGTCTGCTCGGCCGACCGGCTCCAACAACACTATACACATGTCGTATGTAAAACTATGTATATTTTTATAACTATAATGAACTGCTAAGTAATTTTGGTGAGTGTGGTAATGAAATCTTAACACAGAGCACTCACAATGACCGGACGACATCCCTTGATGCAGCAACATGCCTTCTCTATACTTACTATGCACATCACCAAGTCTAGCCACAACACTACTATTATCAGATTCCTCTCACTAAATCAAGACTGAGTTATTTTCCACAATATTTTCTGAAGTAATATGAGGTCATGTTGCATGATGTATAGATGCATAAAACCTCAGCTGTGTGCTGTGATTGTCTTCCTCCACTGTGAACATCATAACTAGCATCGTGTTCACTGATACCTGAATCTTGTACATAGTTTTTGTATTAGTCATGTAGTTCCCTATGACACTATCATCACTAAATAATTGCAGTCAATCATTTTATTCATCATTATTAACCCTTGGGCCACTAAGGGTCATAATGACTTCAACACCCACAGGTGCAACAACAAAAATAAAAAAAAATCTTTCATCTTATAAAAGTGTTCATTTGTGTTCATTGATCATGGAAAAAATAACAAAAAAAAATCACAAGTGGCATATTTTGGTCAGAATCGGGTGGGGGAAATCTGGCCAAAAGGAGGCGTTGACAGAGCAGTCACCAGACAAGGATTGCTCCGCCTGAGCTGTCAGGTGGCAATTGCCACAAAGATGATATTACCTAATTATTTCAATACCTCCAATTTTTTCTTATTTTTTTGCAGTAATATTATTCAATAGTGTGTATTGTGATATATTTATATAATAAAATGTGTGAACCATTGTTGTACTTAAAATTATGGTGAACATATTAGTGATTCGAATATTATGTTCATAAATCAATAACAAATAGTTTTGCTGTTATTACACTATATGCACAGGTTATATATAAGTATCTGCATGTTTTGCTCACCATAACAAATCACTAAGTTGGTATTGTGAGTCAAAAAGCGAGGAGGAGTGATCACCATGTGTTTGGCCAGCCACTTGCTGCCACTCCCTCCCTCAACAACACCTCACTCGCTTACATTCTCCTCCCACGATACTGTATTTGCATTTATTCACTATACCCAGACATTAAATTTAAGTATTTACATGTTTTTTTTACCATAACTGTACATGTAAGCTTGTATGGTGAGTAAAGGCAATAAGAAGTAGCTACTCACAGTCAGCTGGTGGCGGCCGCCCTCAAGGCCAGACGCACTAATATTTCTCCTCCAACAATACTGTTTGTGGTGTTATTACACTATATACACATTATATATAAGTATCTACATGTTTTATTCACCATACCTGTACAAATAAGCTGGTAATGGTGCCCAAAGATTATAGTGGCCACCAGTAAACATGACAACTCATGCAGACGACGCACCTCCCTCACCAAAATGGTGGCTCCCAACCTACTCTTATTGCTGTTATTACACTCTATACATACGTTATATATAAGTATCTACATTTGTGTTCACCATAGTGAGCCACTAAGCTGGTGTGGTAAGTCCAGTCAATAAATGGTGGCCACACACTTTCAGAAGACGATGCCACCTTCCTCCCTCCCTCCCTCAACATTACTCCTCCCACCATGGAGCAAGGTGCTAAATATCACCACAATCCTGCTATTATCAGAATCCTGGTCAGTTTTATCACAGTCAGGGGTCTTCTGTAATACTATCATCGCTAAATAATAACATGAACATATATATATTGACATTTTAGGCGATGCTGTGGTCAAAAGCTGAACAGCAGTGCTGTGTGCTCATGGTGCATGCGTCAGCCTAGGTGGCTCGCTCAGTACTAAAGCTCACACCCAGGAATGTTGGCCACGATTTTTTTTCTACGTGGCGTCTGTCGACTATCGGTTGTGGCTGCACTATAGCTGCCCGTATCCCACGCAGGGTGTTTAATTTAAGGTGCTAGACACAGAACAACAATAAATGTATTGCACGGTTGGCAATAAATTAACTTAATTAAATTAAATAAATAAATTAAAGCAATAGACTGGGAGGCCTATGAAGCAAGAACGGAGGACTTTTGGACATGCAGATTTGTGAACCTCATTCTGGAGACATTCTTGTATCAACACATATAGCAAGCCACAAGAATGAGGGAAGGAGATGTACCGTCAGTACTGGATCTAGTATTCACCAGGAAAGAAGAGTAGATATTTGACAACCAGTACCTTCCTCCCTTGGGAAAGAGTGATCACGTCCTGTTAGACATTGATTATGCTTTAAGATATCATCTAGAAGAAAATGGGGACATTGAAACAGTTGATAAACTCGATTTAAGGAGAGGACACTATGGGGAACTTCAAAATTTTTTTAATGTGTAATTGGACAGAATTGTTGCTAGGCAGGGAAGTAAATGAAATGTATGCCAAATTTTTAAAAATATACGAGGAAGGCACACAAACATTCATACCAAAACAGAGGAGCAGGGCCAGAAAACAGGATTGGTTCGACAGAAATTGTGAGAGGGCAAGAGACCAAAAGACACGAAAATGGAATCAGTATAGGAAGAGGCCAAACCCTCAAACATACCAGCGATACAAAGATGCGAGAAACAACTATACGGCAGTAAGGAGAGAGGCAGAAAGAAATTTTGAAAAGGGGATAGCGGATAAATGTAAAACAGAACCGGCCTATTCTACAAATTCATAAACAACAAATTGCAGGTAAAGGATAATATCCAGAGGTTGAAAAGGGGAAACAGATTCATGGAAAATGAAAAGGAAATGTGTGAAACATTAAATGAAAAGTTCCAAAGTGTGTTTGTACAAAATGAAATCTTCAGAGAACCAGACACAATAAGAATTCCAGAGCACAACATAGAGCGGATAGAGGTGTCTAGAGATGAAGTGGAAAATATGCTAAAGGAGCTCAGTAAGAACAAAGCAGCTGGCCCAGATGGAGTTTCACCATGGGTTCTGAGAGAATGTGCATCTGAGCTCAGCATTCCAATTCACCTGATCTTTCAGGCATCCCTGTGTACAGGAATCGTAGCAGACGTGTGGAAACAGGCTAACATAGTTCCAATCTACAAAAATGGCAGCAGGGAAGACCCCCTCAATTATAGACCTGTATCATTGACAAGTGTAATAGTGAAAGTATTGGAAAAACTAATCAAAACTAAATGGGTAGAACACCTGGAGAGAAATGATATAATATCAGACAGACAGTATGGTTTTTGATCTGGAAGATCCTGTGTATCGAATTTACTCAGTTTCTATGATCGAGCCACAGAGATATTACAGGAAAGAGATGGTTGGGTTGACTGCATCTATCTGGACCTAAAAAAGGCTTTCGACAGAGTTCCACATAAGAGGTTGTTCTGGAAACTGGAAAATATTGGAGGGGTGACAGGTAAGCTTCTAACATGGATGAGAAATTTTCTGACTGATAGAAAAATGAGGGCAGTAATCAGAGGCAATGTATCGGAATGGAGAAATGTCACAAGTGGAGTTCCACAGGGTTCAGTTCTTGCACCAGTGATGTTTATTGTCTACATAAATGATCTACCAGTTGGTATACAGAATTATATGAACATGTTTGCTGATGATGCTAAGATAATAGGAAGGATAAGAAATTTAGATGATTGTCATGCCCTTCAAGAAGACCTGGACAAAATAAGTACCACCACTTGGAGCACCACTTGGCAAATGGAATTTAATGTTAATAAATG